TATAATTTTAAAGTAGTTTTGGTATTATAATAGTTTTCCAATCGCTCCTCACGTGTTTCCAAGGGATAAACTTTCTTTGATTTTTCCCTTCTAAATTTTTTTGGATGAGGATCTATTGAAATGCAGACTCATTCTAAAAATCTATGTTAGAGATGAATTTTGGACATGAAACACGTGTTTAGGCACCCTAGATGTATCCCTTCTTTGGATCCTTGGATTTGTGATTCAAAAAATAGTGCAAATGTGCCATCCAAATAACTACAATTAGTAGTAATGGATAGTTGAACATTAAAATTTAAATGGAAAAGTATATGAAAGATCACCATCCACATAAGAAGTTCACAATCATCATTGGTTGTTAGATTTGGAATCGGGTAGCTGGGGATATTGTCATTGACTAGGTTTAGAGTTCAAATCAAAATATTTCGAACTTTGTGACAAATTCCAAGCTATCGGATTGTGTAAACTAAAGTCGATTGTAACATCCTTTTATTAAGAGTAAATAATCTTATTCCCCACAATCAATGTAGTCTAGTTTTCGAGTTGAAATTCCATTTCTTATCGGATTCATCATTGTGGTCGTTGAGAATATCAACTTTTAAGATTTTAGATCTAAAATCCATATTTAAGGTAGAGTCTTGTAAGAGAATACATTTGAAGAGGCATGCCAACTTCAGCACCAAAATTCATCCTTCAATCTCAATTGTTTAGATAAGTTCGAAAATTTTAGGTTAGCCAGGCTTCATTTCACAGACAAATTTGTAGAATATGATCGAGGAAAGCCCAGAGCTCACAAATTTAAATCCCTGAACGCACTTGCTAATAAATGGATCAATAAAATTCCATCATTTTTTCCTGAAAGAAAAAATTTAATATAAAGTTGCAACCTTAAAATGTAGAATTAAGATGCACCTCAAAAATCCATCATAGAAGGTCGTTTGATGTTAGAAAACCCTCTAATTGATTATCTCGACATCGAGATGTATGAATATGAGAAGAAAAAAAGATTTTGAATCTTAAAAATGTATCTTGCAACAAATTATCTAGATCGTTCATTTTCAAGTGTTGGTAGATCTGCTTAATTTGAACATTTTTGGAGTTTAAGACTTTATATATTTAGAGATAAAAATAGATTCTCAAGCCATCTTAAAATTTTTTGACATTAAAATTATATTTATCATAAAATTTGGAGGTGTGCCTTAATTTGATTGTTTAAGGTTGCAACCTTATACAAACCACGCTCACAATTCCTTTCTAAATTCATTAAATATTTTGGATGAAGTAAAGTCCTGATTCGGAATTTGACCCCTAATCAAATTGAAGCCGCACAAAAGAATTTAAGTATGAAATTTTCTGCATGTAAACGGAGGTTTTTGTGTTTTATCCAAAATTTTAGAGGTTTTTGTATTTTATCCAAAATTTTAGGATCCTTATGTACATCACTCGTTTCAGAACTCCTCAGTTCAACTAAGGATATCTTGCATTTAAAAGAATAAAAAACTCAGTTCCATTGAAGATGGCAAGGCCACCGGTCACCAGCATGGTAGTAGTAATAACACTACTGCTATAAAATACTTCATTTCTTAGTATTTTAGTGTTTCTCTCTCTAACTTCGCTCTCTAAATTCATTGGTTGACGTCTATTGTTGATTTGATTATCATAAATCTATTGCATGTACATAACCATTACTGTCGTCCTTTGGTGTAAAGACCACACCAAATTTGTTTTTAAAATCATATTTCACTCTATAAAGAGATTCCAATAAGTCAAAAGTTGTTTGCTTGTGTTTTTTTAATCCGTAAATTAATGAACTGCTGACTTCCAATTATTTTTTTAAGAAAGTAACTTATATTTATTTTTTTAGCCTTATTTTAATATTATTATTAATTTTTTCTGTTATTACATCGGTATCAGTTTCCTACGTATTATTATAAGGGTGCGGTTTTTAAAGAGCCGAGGCTCTTAACAATCAAAGTAAAGCGTACCTTCAAATAATATTAAAAAATATAGTTTCAGTGCTGGACATCTTTATTATGGGCTTAAAATATATTTTTTATTTTTAATTATAAAATTTAAAGCTTAAAAAATAATGTAGATCAAGCACATCTATAAAAATTTGAAAATCTTGGTCAAAAAATGCATTACAAGATGCATTATTTCTATTTTTTTTCTCATCTCTATTTATCTTGATGTCGAGATTATTAATTTGAAGATATTTTGGCATCAAAACAATCTCTTCTAGTTAATTTTTTAAAGTGGGTTCGGCTTTATATAAACTTCTTCCTTATTATAATAATACTGTGCAAATTTTTAAATTACTGGATTTTCAAAGTCTGCTTTAAACTTTTTGGATGTTCAAAACATCTAAAAGTTGTTTGAAAATTAAAATTTTGGAGTTCCAAAATCCGAAATTATGGTTTTTAAAATTCCAAAATTGTAAGTTTTAGATTTGTAAAATCAAAAAAGTACACAATATTTGAATATTGTAATTTTGGAATTTTCAAAATCCAAAATTTGCAAAGAATCCACAATTTGCATCTTAGTGTCATCTAAAAAATACAAGGAAAATTTACGGATAGACTGGGGTTTTACCGTTATAACGAAATGGCCTGAAATAGGCTGCTATTGTTTTGGACGAATGGATGTCGGAATTTTTTTTTGTCAAGTTTTACTGCGGTCCGATTTTTCAAACATCGAATCCCTTCTTTTTTTTCTTTCAAACATGGCTGAGTAACAATTGGATCGTCTTTACTTTTTTGGTTTGAAAACACCACTTGATGGTTTGAACATCATACTACCTTCGGTTCTATTTTTCTATTAAACCAATCGGTTTGATAGTTCTAACATTGGATCGCATTCTGTTCAATTTTTTTAACTTAACAATGCAGTCAAATGTTTAATCAATCCGACTGTCTTCCAATATATTTTAAAGCCATCACAAATATTTTCAGTATTAAAACCACATTTTTCGACACAATTTGATGGTGCGTTTTATTTTTGATTGTTTGAGCCTCGGCTCTATACAAACCGCACCCTTGAATAAATCCACGCTTCTGCCACACTATTGGTGGGCCTTTATGAGAGTGTTATACGCAGAGGGAAGGATTGAGAGTGGAATGGAGGAGTAAACCTTTGAAGAGAGACCGAACATAGCTCTCCTTTTCGCAACCATGCCGAATACGCCTGTCCATCTCTTCCCTCAGTTCAGCACAAACCGCAGTTAAGAGAGAGAAAATAGGAAGTAGAGAGATGGTGGTGGTGATATAACACATAATGTGAACTACATGCAGCAATGGTGTAAAACATAATTGAAGACGGTTCAATTCTTACACGGCCATGTTTGAAAATAAAAATAAAAATCGTTAGATGTTTGAAAAATCCGACTGAGACAAGCTTGTTAAAAAAATAAAAAAATTTGGAGATCCGTCTTTCTAAGTAATAACGGTTTATTTTCGGACCATTCCGTTATAACGGTAGAAAACCTAATGCTTACGTAAATTTCTCAAAATGGAATTTTCAGGTTTTGGAAATTCAACAATTGCAAAATCTGAATATTGCAATTTTTTATTTCAAAATAAAAAATTTGGAATTTTTATAATTATTTGAAATTAAAATTTACTATTTTGAAAATCCAAAAAGTGCATTTTCAGCTGGATGATTATTTGTATTAAAATTGGATATTGAAAAATCTAAATATTTTTGTAACGGAAAAAAAATCTACCCTTCAAGATCCGAAAATTCGCAATTTCGGATCTTCAAGGATCCTTTTTTTTTAGATCTTGAAGATCTATAGTTTGGAAAATTTCAAAACCACCAAAAAATCTAAAAATGGGCCAATTTTATAAAATATTTTGGGCTCCTAAGAATGTGTATACTTGTAATACACGGAAATTTGAGTATAGCAAGTGATATAAGGAAAAAGTTTTTATAAAGGTGAGGCCCTAATTGACCAAATTAAGCCACATCTCAAAAATTCATTAGAAGAGGTTGTTTCGATACCCAAAATTCCTCAAATTGATCATCTCGATCTCAAGATGGATGAGCATGAGAAAAAATGGATTTCAAATCTTAGAAGTAATGCATCTTGTAATTCATTTTTTACTTTTTAGACCATCAATTTTCAAGACTTCCAAGTATTCATACATCTGTTCGACCTACGTTAATTTTGAAGCTTCAAATTTTTATAATTAAAAATAAAAATGGATTTTGAGGATGTCACCAAGATTTACATTATTGGAACAACATATTTTGATACTATTTGAAGTCACGCCTTATTTTGATCATTTAGAGCCTCAATCTTATACAAACGACACTTTTTGGGTGATACTGTAATATCGTTGAAAATAAAGGATATCAATGTGATTTTCTCTCTTTTTATTTATCCCATAAGTTTGCCTCCCATTCGTTCGATGACTCAAATATTCATATTTATTTATTTATTTTTTGTTACGTTTGTGGGATGGTGTGATATTTAAAAACATCTGACTGCATTATACTGAAAATGCCTTTATAATTGAAAGCTTGTCGGACAGCACTATACTTAAAGTGTTTTTATGTTTGAAAAATGATAAGTTTTAATATTTAAAAAGCGGTCCGATATTACATAGATCAGATCTTTTAAATATTAAAAATAAACTAAGTCAAAGCCTATGTTTATAACCGTTTACACATTGGAATGGCCTATGAAAGTGAAATAAATAAAGAGATGAAAGAAAAAAACGGGTTTGGTGTTTGAATAATAAATTGGGGCCAAACTGGAAAAAGAACAAGTAAAGGGGTAAAACCTCGTGCTAAAATTACGGAACTCATGACTCAGGAGTAAATTTGATAATTGTACCATTGATGCGCTCAAAGTCCAAACAAAATTAACCTATTGTGCTCAAAGTTCAAAAAAAAAAAAAACAACTTAGCCTAAATATGACACCTTAGAGTCTAGATTTATCTTAGATGGCCTTGGGAGTTAGTAACCTAAGTGTTCAAAAGGTAGTGATCTCATTATATACAATTACATAAACATCTCTATAATATTAAATGCGAATTTTATTCTAATTCATGATAAGACATAATGAACAAGCTAGTGTCACACACATATATAGACATCGTCAAACATTCAATATCAGAGAGAGAGAGAGCATCTCAGTGGTGATGAACCAAACTTTGTAAATATCTTTCAACATTATCCAGTCCACATAGCCTCTTCACCACATCGATAGTTGCAGGAGTGTCCATTCTAAAGGTGGCTGAACATTCTTCCCCAATAGTTTCATTTGAGCTACTTTTATATGAATGAAGATCTTTTCTGGCCTCTTTAATGGCCTCCCTAATAGCACAGTGAACTGTCCCAGCCAATAGTAATGGTGGTTCTCCAGATGCTGCAAAACCAATTTGTATAAGTACTATTATCAGAACCCAGTTAGAGATTTATCCTATGTGAGATTGCAATTAAAGAACATTGCAGAAGAAAAAATTAAAAAACGAAAAAGAAAAAGAAAAAGAAAAGGAAAAAAAATAAAAATAAATTAAATGCACACTTAACATTTCAAATATGAAACACCCTAAATGGACTCATTATTGAGTTCTTGTAATTTTTGAGTTCTTGTAATTTTGCAAGTGGTTCATGAAAATTTCTTGGAAATAATAGGCCCACTTGGAGAAAAATATCCATAAGATAATACACCTCAACTATATGGCCCGATGTAATCTTTACTCTTTCAGTTGAGAGTACTAATTTACAGTCAAATGTACATGGTGCACAGAGCTATTCCTTTCCTCTTTTATGAAAAGTAACTGGCTAAAAAAAAGGAACATAAAATATCACAAAAGAAATACAAAACCATACAAAAAAAATATATCATTTTGAGATCCTAACCTTTGGAGGAGAGAACTCTGTCTTGATGAAGACCAGTGCTTAGCATCTCTACATTGAATTGCTTGGGTATGGTATCAAGATTGGGGATCTTATAGGTCCATGTCCCATTAGATGTCACCATTCCATCAGAGTCCACAACGTGCTCTTCGAGTACAAAGAATCCAATTCCTTGGACAAAAGCTCCTTCAATCTATGTTTTTAAAAAGAAACAAGAAAGGAAGAAAAAGCCATGGAACCCATCTTTAGAAACAGGTAGTAACTTCCGAAGACAACATAGGTAAGACATCTGCAGGTGCTTCCACACACATGAAAGAGAGAGAGAGAGAGAGAGAGAGAGAGAGAGCAAATCAATGAGAACATAATTTTGAGACTTTGAAGGTCAATCACTTAAGTTTTCTTGGACTTGAATGCAGTCAATGGCCCCAGCTTTCCGCATCAGGGCTTTACTGTAGCAAAATCCTATTAGCTTATGTAGTTTGACCAACCTGTCCGAGATCCATAGCAGGGTTCAAGCTCCTTCCACAGTCATAGACCATATCAGTTCGTAAAATCGTCGAAGCTCCTGTAAGAAGATTTATTTCCACCTGCAATATATACGCTTCATATCAGTTATTAATTGTGTCTAAATTCAGAAAGTCCTAACACACATAGGGAAAATTAGAACAGACATATACCTCACTTGCAGCAGCACCATAATTTAGATATTCATTTGAGCTTGAATCAGGAACCCAGTAGGCGCTAGCAGACATGTTCACTGATTGGAAATATGCCTACAAAATAAAAGAACTAATAAATAAATGACCAGGTTGATTTTGATATCACAATATGTTCTACTAGGATGCATGATTAAATAAGGAAATAAAGGAATCCATAACAGAGAACTGAATCGGACAAATAGAAAACAAAATTCCATGATGTGAAACCAAACACGCCATATTTCTCCTGCATTTCTTTGGTCCATTTTAGTTTTTTTTTTCTAATTCTTTTGTTCTTCTTTACCCTGATACATGTACTTAGTATTTCATTTCTCATTTTTCATTAGGACATTTCATGAAACCCAGTTCATTGAACCATTTATGAACATATCTCAAACATTTTCTTTTCTCACCTGTTTAACGAGAGCATCCCATGAAACTTCTTGTGCTTTCTCTAACAAAGTCTTTTTTATTGGTGAAAGCCTTTCACCCAAAACATCACAAGCAACTCTAACTGCTTCACAGCTCGATTCAGATGTGGTGCTCCCTGCTGTCATCCCTCCTTGGACCATACTTATTGTATCGGCTTGGACAACCCTTACCTTCTCATATAGCTCATCATTCCCATCCTTCCATAGCCGACCAAGGGCAAACGCGGTCATTTGCTTCACTTTGGTCCAGAGCCCCTGTCCTAATTCAATCCCTCCAACCTCAACAACTATTGAGCCATCATTTAATATGCTCACTTTACCTGGAGTTGGCCTCACAGAGACTGCATAAATAATGGGCAAAATTGACATACCCCTCTTTCGCCATCTATTTGTGCAATTAAACTCACGAATTTCTTTGGTTCTTTGGTTAAAATTCGACAATATAATCACCTTCTCCAAAGTCAGAGGCAAAGTGTAACCAAGTTTGTCACCTGCGTAAGTGCCATAGAACAACTTGAGACTTTCAAAGTTGTGGAGATTCTTTTCTCGAATGGAGTTAGCATCCATAGAGAGAGTAGATGCCACATGTTCAATGATGGTTTCAGCTAAGAAGGCACCCTGTACATCTCCAGGTGCTCTCATGGCTGATTTGCTAGGGAAATTGGTTTTGCAAGCCTTAAAGTTGAAAGAAAGGGCCCCATAATTGTATTTTTTCAGTGCTGAGGTCATGGTGTAAGGGATGATGGGGCTTAAATCAACTGAATATCCAGCATCGAGGAAACAGTCCACATGCACGGCTGTGATTTTCCCATCCGCTTTGAATCCTACAGTGTAGAACATCTTCATTGGGTGCCGGCCCCCAATCATTATCATATCTGTTTGTCGATCGAGATACATGCGAACTGGGCGACGTAATTTGAATGCTGATACTGCGCATGCCACTGCAACCTGAATGATAAAATAATTTTATTCATTAAATAAATTTAGGAATTTTTTTTTTTCTGTAAATCTCCTTGATAAGGGTAACCCACAAAACAATTCAGATGTAAGAAACAATCCAATGGCATGAACAGCCAAAATTGATCAGAGACAGGAAAAACTTATAGTTGAGAGAAAATCATTTTTACAAGGGTACGAGTTTTTTTTCAATGATTTTATGGAGCATGTCCAGTTTCAAAATGATTTATGGAATTTAGGAATTTTTTTGGAATTATGTGAGATTTGTGAAATAAATTGATTACTAGTGTTGAAAAGAAACAATGGAAAAGGATCAAGAGTTTAGAATTCTAATGCCATGAGAAAACCCAAAAGAAAAAGAATAGAAAGGCTGCCACATAAGAGACGCATTTAGTCATCATGTAGAATGTAGCCACTTCAATAATTTGAGCGTTATATCTTAACGAAGGCTTTCTAGTAAAAGTACTAAATCCCAGTGAAAAAGTTTACCAAATTATAGGTAGTTTTTTTTACATGAATAGGACACCACCAATTTATTTGCAGTTCGAGTTCCATGATTTGTACTCACTGGAATTGCCCTTGTGGCCTTTCCGCCAAACCCTCCTCCTACTCTTCTTGTAATGATACGCACATTATGCTCTGGAATCCCAAGGCATTTGGCGATCGTGACCTGGGTACTCTCGGCCATTTGACATGACGTGTAAACAGTTAAGCAATTATCTTCATCAGGGACGGCCATTGCTGTCTGTGTTTCCATATAGAAATGGTATTGTGATCCAGTTTCGACCTGTATATTACCAGAAAATGTCAGTAAACAAGCGCAAATCTCTCTCTCTTTCTCCCCCCACATACATACATACATACATGAGATCTTGTGGAGAATGGAAGGCCGTCCCCAAAGGCATCATCACTGTATGATCATCTGATGGACAGTTATCTGGAGAAAATGGGACTCATCCGGGGGTACCACTCCATATCCATCAACATGCAATTTTTCATGTGACAGTGATGACCCCAGCTGACCATCATCTTCCATAGTCTATTGAATCATTATATTTTTCGTTTGTCTGTACATAGAAAATGCATGCTTCAAATGATCAAAAGAGGTACCTTGAAAGAAAGAATCTTGTGATCTGCTTCAGCCATCCCTTTCGAAAAATCACCAACTTGTTGTGGAATAAAAGGTGGTGGGAGAGGTATCTCAAAAAAGCTAGATCTTTTAATAGCCTCTTCTACTGATAAAATAGGTGGCTCTAGACCTTGTGTATCATAGGACACCTTCACTTGATCAGCAGCTGCTTTTGCCAGCCTCCGAGTCTCTGCTACCTAAACAAAAGGTAAGTGAACTAAAATGGTAAAAAACCAATATGTAGAAGATGAAAACAAATGCCCATCATACCATTCCATCAGAATGTTTGTACTATTCATAAAGCGGGGGAATTATACTATAACCCAATGAACCATGGGGAGCCATATAACGTCCAAGTTGGGGTCCTCACCATTAAACGAAATAATGGACAATGATAGACAGTTGGAACTAATAGTTGGATCACATCCTATTTGTAGTGGATCCCAATCTCTCCCCATTACTTATCAGTATTTTGTTGTATTGTTTCGAAAGCAATAGATTATGAGAACAGTACAGTATGTTTCACCTATAAATAAATAGGATGAAAGAAAAAGGGATTACCATGACTCCGAGGGGTTGGCCAGCAAATTCGGTAAGATCATCAGCAAACATAGGTTCCTCTCCAAAAATTGCTTTAAGTCCTACATTTTGTCCTCCGTTTGGTATATCCTTGGCTGAAACAAAGGAAACCACTCCTGGAGAAGCTAAAGCAGATTCAACTTCAATATGTTTTATGTGGGCAAACGGTTTTCTGCTATACACAAATGCCCCATAAAGGCAGTCCTTTGGGGAAGGGATATCATCAGTGTACACAGCTTCACCTGCACACATTTACATGGTACAAAATCAATGCTTTAAGCTGAGCACAAAGCATTCGCATTTCCGTAATAGGCTTTTCTTGGCCATAATTCGGCTATTTTGGTCGAAATATTTAGGAGAAAATCTCTCAACCATCACACTACGTTAACTCTAAAGGATTCTCTCAGTCTTATGTAAGCATAATTGGACCAATGCACTTTCATTTTCATTCTCTCTCTGGTGTTTCTAAGTATTCAATCAATTGAGATCTCCCTCTCATGAAAATGTTTTTTTAAAGAAAAAAAAAGAATTCATGGGTACTTTCTAGACAAGTAGAGCATGTTTCCCACCAAATTTCTCTTTTTTCTTGGTGTGGGTAAGGTGGGGTTCGAACCTCAAATCATAATCTGTGGTTCCGACACCATACCACTGAGGCAAGAGATCGAACACCTTTTTTCTAACATATAGACTTTTTTAAGATTCAAGAATCTTGAAATAACCGGTTATGTCTAGTTTTGAAAAACATGAAAAACACCTCAACTTTTAGGTTTAGCTTTAATGGTATCTGAATACCGGTATGGGCTTTATTGGTGAAATAAGCATGATGGCCTCTCTCTCTCTCTCTCTCTCTCCTTGTTATCTAACAACAAAGAATTACCTGAAGCCTGAAGCTCAGCTGAAACTTTCTTAGTAGGATAACCGACAGGATGATAGTCGTTATGTATCTCCACGACTTGCTTTGAACTTATGCCCGAAGTTGATTTTCTACTTTCGCCATTGCAAGCATTAGAGATCTTGTCAATATTAGATTCAGGATTAGAAGCAGCAGAAACAAGGTCATTGATGGTGCTTTTGTTGAGTTTTCCTGAACTAGTAATGAGTGGGGAGAAAAAGTCAAAAAGAAACCCGACAACCAAACTGGACCTGTAATCAGGCTTTGAGGTTCCTTCTCTAGGAACCACGGTCATTTTAAGAATTTGGATGGCCTCCAATAATACAGAGTGAGTAATTGATTTTCCTTTCAAATACTCTTCTACCTTCCTTGCTCTGATAGCATGTTTAGTCCCATAAGCTCCAAAGGCTAAACTAAGATGACCCAAAACTAGTTCTCCTGTTGATTCATTAGCCAAGACCTCAGCCATAAAAGCAGCGTTGACATAGGCCAGTGCACCACCAAGAGGATAAGGAGCAGCTCTGTAAGTCTCAAACAGCAGTTCAGATTCTCCCTCTACCTCACCAGTTCCATTATTCAGAGAGAGAGAGTACAATTCATTTCCACCTTCAGTCTTAGAGAGAGGGACTCCACTCCAGCTCGGTATTCGAACACTTACTAGCAAAGTCTGAGGGTCACATGGTGGTTGCCCAAGGAATTCCTCCAAGCTTAGAGAGAGAGTTCCTGTTGGGGTCCGAATTATGACTGACGAACAGGCACCAAGTAGAATGGTGGCTATATCAGATGGGAATTCGTTCCTCTGCGCCATAACCAAATTACCTCCTAAACTCGCCATATTTCGAACAAATTTCGAAGCCACCATGTTCAGGTGATTCACAACTTTCTTGAATACCAAGTGCGGTTCATTCCTTGATGAGATCTCTTCATCCAAAACTTCTATAACCTTTGAGAGGGTAACACCTGCACCTATATCTATCCCCTCTTTCTCTCTCTTAATCATCGAGAGCTCAGGTATATGTCTTATATCAATGTATTTCTGATAATTCCCTTGGTTTTTATAATAACCGGTGCTGGTATTTCCGGCCACAAGCTTCACTCTATTTCCATTCTCTTCTGATCTCAGTATCTCCATGAGTTCTTCAAGGTTGGTTGGTGTGATCCAACACCCATCTTCTGGTTCTCCCAATTCACTCTTATACACTAGATTCAATTTTCTCTCTTTAAATTCATCAATTGGTTCTGATTCATTCTTGAGAGATTCAGGGAAGGTGCACACACTCTTTGGAGCATAAGGAGGTAATTTGCTTATGTCTAGAGTTTCCCCCTTTTTGCAAAAGGAATTCAGGCCAAGATCCTCCATGTCTACATCTGCGCAAAAGCTTTTACAAGCATCAATAATGGGCCTGTAACCCGTGCACCTGCATAAGTTTCCCGCTACGGCTCTCTCAGCTTCAGAAACTGTGAGCTTAGAAAACCCAGGTGGGGGTTCAGGCCTAGAGCTTTTGTCAGCTTCAGAGAGAGAAGAGTAGAGAGAGATACACATTCCAGGGGTGCAAAAGCCACACTGGGAGGCATGGAAACCTGCAATTCTCTGGTGAATTGAATGGAAGCCATCTCTCTGGTTCCCGAGACCTTCACTTGTTGTGACTGAACAATTGTGCAGGCTGCACAAAAGAGTGAGGCAAGAGCTCACGGAATGTTCTTCTAAATCTCTCGTTTCTGGGTTATACTTTGAAATGAGCACAAGACAAGCTCCACAACCACCTGTAACAAGAGATAGAGTGAGATGCTAGAGAGAGAAAGCTTAATTCACCTATCAATGCCCGACTTCTCCAAAACACGTTTCTCTGTTTAAGGCTTGAAACGGTCCAAAGAAGTTCAGTTTGAAGAGAAGAGTAAGAGAGAGATGAATCCAACAATAAATGCTTTACTTTTTTAGCATGTTATAAATTCTTAAAATTTTCCATGTGCTCCAAACTAACTACATAATACAGAAAACAGAGCCCACAAACCAAATTAAATCTCTCAAAAATATTCTCCATTAGAAACAAACACCGTGTACCAGAGAGAGAATAATGAAAAAACCGATACATCTCCTAAACTAATTACTTTTGTTGGGAAAATACAGTCCAACGGCCAAAAGTGGAAGTAAAATAATCAACTGGGAACCAAGTATTATACCTGAGTGCTCACACAAAAATTTTGGTGAATGGATGTGGAGAGGCATGATGAACTCACATAGGCACGTTTGACAACTACTAGAGCTGCTGAAATCAATTCCACACTGCAAATCTCGAGCGTTGTGGAAGCTCACGAACACTCTCACAAATGCGATAGGAGCAGTCCAAACTCGACTCTTTTCACAACTCTATATCTCTCAGGATCGGGTCTCTCTTTAGATCTCAAATAGGAAAGAGATTGTACTTTCTCTCTCTTTCTCACTCTTTCTCTATCTCTCAAGAGTTTAGCTCTCACACTTTCTCGTGTGTGTTGTGTTGTACACCCCTCCCCCTTTTATAATGCGAGAAAGGAGCCCTCTCAATCATGTGGGAGTAGCCTCTTCATGAATGGGCACCCTTATGATGCATGGTGCCTACTATTCATGGGAGGGTAACCCCTTCATAAAAAGATAAAAACTCTCCCCACCTCCCTTTATGTAGTAACGTAAGTCAAACATGAAGGGGTGTGGTCCACTTGGGTGTACCCTCATACTAGAGCTGCACCTCATGTTTACATCTCTTACTCATATCGTATATGGAAGGGGCTACATACCCAAATAAGAGTTGTCGTTCGTTATCTCATCACGAGTATTATTTCATACAAAAGAAAAATACGGTATGCGACCTACTTGAGCAAACACTCTGTTAGAGAACCATACCAAGTTTCCAACCTCATCTCTCTAATACCTGCAAAACAAAAAATGCTCCAACTACCCTAGACCCAATTTGACCACACTGGACTAAGTTCTCAGCTAATCCCAAATGAGCCCAGCTCAAAAGATTACTTAGCCCATCCATACACAATTATTTTTAATGCACGCGTAATGTGTAGTATTTTCTTGTGGTACCAAAACAGAGTGTGATATCAAATGGTCTTCCCTTACAACATATATTATTCTACTTTGACCCCGACTATTGTCTCAGCAATATCCCAGATGAGTCTCATACTTGACCTTAAGGAATACATGCCAAAGTGCATGATCGAAGTAAAGTTTTCTAATGCAGTCTAAGGTCTATGAGGGCATCATGGGTCACCTACTTATTAGCCTCGCAAAGTGGCAAAAAAGAACATCATCATCTTTTTCGACACGAGTAGGTATTTTGGTCACTAGTATAACACGTGTGGTATGAATCACACGTCATGGTGGATCACATCAAATGAGCGTCATAATCCACACCATGCAGGTTATAGTCTTTTCGTAGCCATGCAACCGGTTGCCACCTAACGCCCCACAGTCACATCCATGTGTTAACTCGAACATCGTTGATGTTCATCCTTGGCTACTTACAGGCTACATAATCTTTGGGACGTCAATTTGAATTGATCATGTCAATTCCCTGATAGAATCTCATCTCGAACCTTGGTTGAGGCGATAAATATACCATGTGTACATCTCATCCTCCAATATCCCAGATATTAAGGGTAACTCGTGTGAGTAGTGAGCTTTGGCCTGCCAACTAATCAAATGATAATCTCACACTATTGTGGGCCTGTGTGTATTAAATTGCACAAAACATCCATAAAATAACATCCATATTCAATTATAACAGGGTACCAAGATCCTATTGTGGAATAAACTCATAGGGTCTTGAGGCCCATAGTTCTTACATGAGTTTGATGTGCGGCTCTGACAATTGCCTTAATCAATGGATCCACCATCATTTTAGTTGTAGGAATATGAGTTAACACCACATGTCCATGTGCAATAATATCTCGAATATAATAATATCTAACATCAATAAGTTTTGACTTTCTATGGTACTTTGGGTCTTTTGTAAAAGCAAGTGCCGCTGCATTATCACAAAATACAGTGACATGCTCATTTCTAATTGCGACAACACCGAAGTTCCTTATGAATCTTCTCGACTATACGGCTTCTTGTACTGCTCCACTACAAGCAATGTATTCAGACTCCATAGTGGACAGAGCGACACGACTGCTTCGTGCTACAATAAGAGACTGCACCACCTCCTAACAGAAATATAACCTGAAGTAGATTTGCGCCCATCTAAGTCTGCTGTGTAATCAACATAACTATATCCCCGTAACAGCAAATCGGTTCCTTGGAAACATAACATTTGACTTGAGGTTCCCCGAAGGCATCGAAAAATCCTTTTCACTGCTTTTTAATGACTTTGTCCTAGATTACTTTGGTATCGGCCCACGAGACCCACTGCATAGGTAATATCTGGATACGTGCAGAGCATCGCGTACATCAAACTATTTAGCTTCTGTCTGCGGACACATGTCAAGACTTTTAGTATGCCCTTTCTAAACTGGAGTATATATGGGTTTCGAGTCTTGCATACGGAATCGCTCAAGAATCTGTTGCATATATGTATCTTGTGACATGGTAAGAAACCTTTGAGAGAGATTTTGATGTATCTTAATACCGAGTACGTAACTCGCCTCACCCCTTGCCCTTCATCTCAAATTTGGAGGACAACGACTCTTTCATGGCAACAAGTTGCTCTAGATCATTCTCAAGTAATAAAATATCGTCAACATACAAAGATAGTATCTGGATGCTTTTCTTATACTTTTTAATGTATACACAATGACTTTCTTTAAGAATTTCAAAACCATAAGTCATTATAGCGCTATGGAATTTGATATACCACTGTCTTGATGACTGTTTGAGACCATAAATGGATTTCTTGAGCTTGCACACTTTGCGCTCAAGGCCAGAGGCTGCAAAACTTTTAGGTTGCTCCATATAGATCTCTTCCATTAAGTCAGCATTTAGAAAAACAGTCTTCATATCCATTTGGAAGAGTTCTAGGTCCATGTGTGACGATTGCTAGGATTAGGCGAATCAAGGTCATTCCCACAACCGATGAGACTATGTCATCGTAGTCCACTCCCTCAATTTGGGTGAACCCTTTAGCCACTAAGCGGGCTTTATACGTTTCTATAGTTCCATCTACCTTCCTCTTGATTTTCAAGACCCATTTGTTTCTAATTGATCTTCTATTAGGTGGCAGATCCACAAGTTCCTAGACTTGATTCTGCTCCATAGAACTAAGCTCGTCTTTCATAGCAGACATCCATTGGTCCATAACAGGAGAATTCAAGGCCTCTTGGAATAAGCTAGGCTCATCAAAATCAAATAAAATGCATGTGAGACGCTCTACTTCAGTGTCTATGAGGAACTTTCCAATGCTGACTCTTTCAAGTTCGACCTATGCTTCATTCTCAATAGATGTCTCTAGCATGGTCGGTGACTCAATATGGGTCATATGCTTATTCTCAGCCAGTAGCTCACTCTCACTATCATTGACAATCATGGGAAAACTCTTATTATTACGCTCAAATGAAGGAACTATCTACTGCTTGTTTGAGATTCAAGCTCTTCATAGAGCTCTTCAGATATACGAGACTGCTTCATATTAGAGAATTTCATCTTTATAAATTCAACATTGTGAGATTCTATTTCCTTAATCCTATTACCAACACGTTCTTGACAAAACACATATCCCTTCGAGTGCCCAGAATATCAGAATATCTGACAAAAATGCACTCGATAGACCATCTGTCTAGTTTCCCTATCAATTGAGAAAGGATGTGAATGTGTGTAGCTGACTCGAGGACGTAAATGAGAAAGATCTCATTTTTTACCTGTCCATAACTCATAAAGGGTTTTGAGAACGAATTTTGATGGCACTCTGTTTAGGATATACATTACAGTAAATAGTGCATATCCCTAAAATGATATTGAGAGGTTGACATGAGCCATCATTGACCTCACCATATCCAACAGAGTACGATTCCTTCTTTCTGCAACACTATTTTGTTGCGGAGTGTAGGACATCGTCTCTTGTCATTCTCACAAAAATTCTTAAATTTTGATCAGATAAGTATTATCGCCTTCGATCAGTGCGAAGAACCTTAATTCTTATGCCCAACTGATTTTCAACCTCTAGCATAAAACGACAAAAGCAATCTAATGCTTGCGAGTTATGCGAGATTAGGTATACATACCCATAGCGAGAATAATCATCGATAAATGTGATAAAATAATGAGAACCGTTACGAGCCATCTCATTAAATGGACCACGAATATCAGAATGTATTATATCTAAACGACCAATTGCTCTTTTTACTTTAGGAAATGGCTTTCTAGTTGATTTTTCAATTATACATGGTTCACAGATAGGTATGTCTATTTTGGATAAAAGACAACAATCATTCTTTGGCTAATCGGATCATCACATCTTTTCCTATATGAGCAAGCTTAGCATGCCATATTATAGAGTTGTGTAATACAAGAGGTGGAAAATGATGATGATGTCATATAGGTAGAAGGAACTGAAAAATTAATATCATTATTATCCAAAATAAACAGGTCATTTCTAATCTGGCCATAACAGTGAAAACCATCTGGAAATATAAAGGCAACATAAGTAAGCATGAAACTGATAAAGCAACCGTCTCTAACTAGACATAAAACTAAAAGTAAACTTTTTCATTTCGAGAGCATAGAGGACGTCATGGAGAAGAAGGGTCCAGCCACTTTGGAATCAGAGTTGGTAAGTTCCAACCCC